AGAGCACAGGGCTGGGCACAGTGGACAGCTGTAGTATTGCAGCATCTCTGGCTGACAACATGAACAAAGAATTCACAAACTTTTGAAAAAGGACAGAACTCTTAGGCCCATCACAGAAAGCACAAAAATGAATGAGTGGAAATAAAAACAGGCCTTGCTCAGGTCATGGGAGATATTCATTTTGTTGAGGAGAAAATGAGGCAAGGCAGAGTCATTAGGAAGGCTCCTTACAAAAGCAGGAGTTACTTGGGAAATTACAGTGTCATTGACTAGAATACATCTAGTACAAAAGGGAGATATAATAAGAGGAAAGCAGTTATGCACCCAAGCCCAAAAATGTAGCATTGCACTCATCCTGAGAGGTAATCATTCCTGTCATTACTAAGCTGTAAGATCACTCAGTCCTGGCTTGAAATCCAGGAGTTCAACACATCAGTCAGATAGTGTTTCATAACCCTCTGCTACTGTGGCTCCTCAGGAGTTCAATAAAAAACAGCCAAATTGTGGCTTCAAGACATCCAGTAAATCCTATGGTTCCTAGCAAACCTTATAAGTAATGACTCACAGACATCCTTAATTTAAATAAGTTTTCTTTTTGTTACTGCCTTGAAGAGTCCTTTGAAAGTGTAATGGTTCTTTCTTAGGAACTGACCCATTGATACTGGCAATTTTGTCTCCAGAACAGAAATCCTATGGGCAAACAGTGTATAAAATACCACAGATTTCCATCTTCTTTTAAGTCACCCTTGGTGACTTAAGGCTCCCCTTAATTGCTATAGTTGTATTTTGTTTTTGTACATGATCCGTATCACTTAACTGAACTATGCTTTTGTAATTAGTGTGACAGAAATGGCAGGTATCACACTGCCAGAATGGTGATAAAAGTAGCCAGAGGAAATTGTTATCAGAGCAGAATACAGTAATATGACATCTTGCCTGCAATAGGGACTGGCAGCAGCAGAGAAATCCTAAGCACAGAATGACTCTCTCACCACTACGCCTATGTGCAGCCACTAATGACTTTACCACAGTTACTCATCAACATTATATCTAGTTCAGTGTCATAGAAACCATTCAGATTGTTTCTAGAATTACCTTACAGACCCAAGACATGATATACTGGCTTGGAGAAAAGGTCTTGCACTCTATCTATGCAGCAGCTGGAGAAATAGAGAAGTAAATGTTTTAGTTATTTACCACAGAGTCTGACAAAATGCAGAACCCTCTGACATCCTTAGAGGAAGAAAAAAAAAACCAATGACAACCCATGCCAAAAAGTCAGTCTTGGAGAATGAAATGGAAAGTCCTATATTTCATTGAAAGATTCAATGCAAAACATGACAGAAAGTATAATGCCTAGAGTTACATAGTTGAGGACTTCTACCCTAAGCTGCATAAGTTCTTAAAAATGTCTTGAACCATTCTGGTGACCTTAACAATCCCTGCACCTCAGAACAGTAGACAGTAGACTTGTCACTACTTATTACCAAAAATATGAAGGCTGATTTCCCTAAACTAAACCTAACTTCTGTGTTTTCACCAGTGTCTCTTTCCTAATACAGACTATTCTTCCTTACTTATGGGCCACAAGTCAATAACCTTTTGACCTTCTCTGGCCCCGGAGTTTCTGGAGTCTCCGGCTGCAGGATGAGTTCTGGAGTCTCAGTATCTTTGCAAAAGTGCTTCTGGATCATTTCCAGGCTGTCAACAAGCTCTTTAAATGTGTAGATTGAATACTTATGACTTAATGCCGTGTCAGAGGGCAATTTACTAATTCCCTACTTCATGTTCTCAGGGGAGCATTAATAAACATCCTGGACGTATCTGTCCATATCTGCTGGGATGTGCACAGTATGGCTGTTTCCCAGTCCCAGAACGTACAGTTATCATTTGTGTTACAGACTGAGCAGAGACAGTGTAGATGAGATGGACAACAGTATCCTCCTAGATGAATATTGCCTTCATTGCTATGCTTTTTTGAGTAATTCACTTGCTTCTGTGCATTCTATGCTTGGCTTGGGTGCCTCACCCAGGTCTTAATTTAACAAGCTGGAGAGCTCCAGAGCAAACAAGGCACTAACTTGCTGTAATGTCTGGGAGGACAGCACTTCTTGAAGGGCAAGTTAAAAACCTACAGATTTAAAAAGTGCAAATTCAGATATCTAGAGACTTAAACTAGGCTTCACATAAGACATTTTAGGAGTTATGCTCTTGTACATAAATGCCTAAATTCCCATGTTCCACTGCAGGCTTATTAGTCCCTCTGTGGATTTAGTCCTGATAAAAGGCCTGATTCAAGAACCACCAGGCTGTACTTAATAATAAATCAATAAGCATGAAACACAGACTTTGGTTTGAGGCCCAGCCAAAACTGAAGTCAAATAAGGAAAGAATACACATGTCTTTGGGGACTGCAGATCAGCAAATTGGTGCTGAATAAGAAAAGAGCAATAGAAGAAGAAACCGAGAGAGGAAAGAAACCTTGGACTTTAAGGAATTGCCCACTCTCTCAAAAGCATTGCCAACATTTTTCAACAAGTGTGGGCTATTAAAATACATTCCCTCAAAGGTGTTCTGTTTGGCTTGGTGGAAATCTTGAAATTACAGTTTTTACGCTTGATAAATGCTTAGTTAGAAATTGCCATATAACATTAAAATCTATCACACCTGGATTTCATATATGTTTCTTTATACAGCTGCCTTCCACCAAAATGGCTGATGAGGTGAAAACTTGGAACAACTTCCCAGATTAGTTACATACTTCACATAGAAGTTCCTATTTCAATGAAAACAGTCTGCCACAGTCACAGAAAGTTCACAGACAATGTTCACCATCGTTTCAAGTAAAACAGATACAGTCCAACTGCAAAATCTGACTTGAAGTTTCCATCTGAAGTGGAAACAGCCAACCAACATGTACTTCTACACATCCCTTACTGTTCTTTGACATTTTCTGCAACTGTGTAGTAACCTGCTTGCACATCAAGGTCTGGAATGACTTTCCTGTCAATCCCTACCCTCTGTAACTTTTTAAATCTACTGAAATATTAATAATTATAGTAATGATAGTAGTAATAATGTATTTACCAAACTGAGGAATTTCTGTTCTACACTGATATTCTAGCTCACGCTTTAAGCTACAAATGAACTTGAATGAGGGTAATTGTGATTACTCAGAAAGTGATTACTCAGACTGTAAACCCTGTGGGACAGCCACTATCTCTATTTTGTGTTTGCATAACACTTAGATGCACCAAGGTCCAAATCTCCTGTGGAAGATCACCACCTGTGCTGATACAAACTAACTAATCTCTGATGGCTTAATGCCATCAGCACTGTAGAATCTATTTTCTCTCAATTTCTTTCACCACTTATTTCAAAGATCTTAGGAGCAATGAGAGCACAACAAGCACAGGAGGTTATGTAGAATAGCTCTTCTTGTTTTGCTTTGCTTCGTTTTGTTTTGTTTAAAACAGGGAGATCGTGTTGGCACAAAGTGGGAATCGTCTTTAGCACTATTCTTCCCATTCTCATCAATTTCCTTCCTTTGGCTTCTCCCTGAAGGAATGAAGGATAATTGGGCAACTCTTTCCCACAATGATTGATGCTCTATGAGTCTCAAGACATTTCGGGGATCAGAAAAATATGAAAGCAATAATTTCAGATTCCGAATTTCATTTCCTTTTTTTTTTTTTTTCCTAAAAATCAAGCAGGAGTGTCAAAGATGTTTGAGGAAAAATAAATAAATAAATAGATAGATAGATAGATAGATAGATAGATAAATAGATAAATAGATAAATAGATAAATAACTTGCTACCTGTCTTACTCACTGGAGAATCATTTAAAATCCGCTTTGTTTTGTAATTATTGGCTGTCATGTGTATTTCAGTGACTGATAGAATGGCCCTTTATGAGAAAGACTTTTGTATTGACGAAAATGCCACATTTTATTTCATTTTACCAATAAGGAGAAGAGTGATTATTGGAGACACTGGCTCGTTTCAATGTCTGGGGTACTCCTATGTGCAGTAATCAGGTTTTTGCTCTTGTTACTCTTCTATTGCAGTCTCAGACCCATACCACAGAACATTTTGAAATTCAAATTCTTACCAGTTTCACTGTTTTCCTTAGAAATCCGAGTTCTGGCAACGTGCACATGTTCTGGAAACGTGTGGAACTTAATTGTTCTGGGTGCTGAAAAAGCAGGAAAGAGGTGATTTCTCAGGCTCAGTATGAGACCATCAAAAGAGGGAACAGAAATACTTTCCTGTGATTTAATCGAACACTGAACCAAAAGAGATTAAATCATAGAATCATAGAACCACCAAGTTTGGAAAAGGTGTCTGAGGTCATAGAGTCCAACTGTCCACCTACCACCAACATTTCCCATTAAACCATGTCCCTCAGTACAACATCTCAACAATCACTAAACACCTTCAGGGTTGGTGACTCCCTGTAGTCAGATACTCCTAATCTCAAATACTGTGCTTTGCAACTGAACTCATGATGATAAAATAATGCGAAAAGGTTTATATATATATGCAGTCCAGTTAATTTAATTGAATAATGGGAGAAAATCACAGCCTGTTTACATATATTCTATGAACAGGAAATAAAGCTATATTAAATTATGTAAATTATTCTCTGTGAGCTGTTCACTCTTTTCCCATAGTAATGCTATTTGTCACCCTAAGACCCTGTATGCATGTGTAAACCAAAGCACATATTTATAAATGAAAATAATATACACAACATGAGCTTTTTCTCTGTAGAGAAGTCTAGCGCTGCCCATTTACACTGTGCACTTAATTAATCAGTGATTGATGCCTATTTGGAGAGCTAACAAAAGTTACTACCTTTTCCTGTGTGAACTGGCCATCCACTTGACCTCAGTATTTTAGCCAAAGAATGAGTACAGTCTTTTTTCAACAAAAAGGAAAACCTTTTCTGTTCTTGTGTTTTCTAAATTTTGGTCCTCATGTTTTCTTCCCCCTGCCAGGTGGGTTTCCCAGCTATTATCGGACACAACAGGAGGAAAAAATGTTTCAAGATTTTTTTACTTATGAAAGAAGATCTTCCCTACAGCCTGCTCCCTTTTCAAGAGAGGAGGCAAGTAGAAGAAATGAAGAAACATCCCAGTTGTTGCTTGTGGCTTCTAACAAGTGTCTGGGTGTCTGCATAGGAATACAGAGACTGCATATGCAACTTCTTCACAAGCAGTTTTCAAACATTTTAAAGCCAGAGCAATGTCATTCTTTTCTTCAAAGTCACCATTGCTAGATTTTTTGCATTAATAAATACTAAATTCTGTGGAAAAAGGAAAGAAAAAGATTTGGAGCACATCCTTCTCTGATGATTTGTTTGCTTGCTGTCACTGTTAAATACATAAACTCCTCTCAAATACAAGTACTTCCTTTTCCCTCTTTATTTCCTTGTGTGTTTTCCACAGTGACAGGAAATCCTACGGTGATCTACAGAGTTGCTGAACTCCCTGCCTTGCCTTGATTTACATTTCATGCATGTAGGCAGGCTGTAAATTAAAACAGCCACTTGGAGAAATTTAGCCACCTTCAATAGGATTCAAGCTTCGAATAAAATATGGCAGATATCTGAGCAAACAAGTGCCATCATGCAATCAAGAGTGGAAAAAAAAAAAAACCAAAACGCCAACTTAATTTCCATTCTGATCAAGAACATGGATTTTCTTTGGTACAACTAGGTTCAAATATTGACTTCTAGGTATCTCATAGGGACACGTGAAATCTCCATGTTAGGTATTTTACTCCAGCAAGGGTTTGCATACTCCCCTAGGCAGCAGCACCTGCTTGCTTCTCTGTGTTGTACTGCCAGTCTAAGATAACATCTCTTTTGTGTGATAGAAATTAGAAATCATACAGAAAACACTCAGCTGTGGGTATTTTAAAAGAAGAAGAGAAAGAAGAAGATGATATTCCTGAAACAAGTAAATGGGAGCAGGAGCTGCAGATCCCATTCACAGCTAGGGAAATGCCAGTTGCATCCCCATTTCGGATTAGTAGATGATGTCAATTGCATTTTACAAGCAATTAGAGGAACTTCCAGAGTTTCCACATGCACTCTGCGATTTGGCAGCATGACAGAATTGGAGAGATTTTAATGTTAGTGCTGAAAGATTGTAAAATCATGCCTTGCGATGTAGAAAATGGAACTTCTTCAAAAACTGCATTAATGAGCTCGTTTTACTAAAACTTCATTAAACCAGGCATATAATCTGTGCAAACTTAGTGTGCTTCTCAATTACATGGAAACAGAGTGTGCTCTGACAAGTAAGGAGCCAGCGGCCATTGCTGATTGTGTCACGCCTGGAAGGCTAAACTATTACAGATGTCTCCTTTTATGACTTTTTGAAGCTATAGGTGAAGAATCTGTGTGAGGTGTCTGTGTCATGTGGCTGTAGGTTGATCAGAAGTCTGGGGATCCACTGGTTTGTGGGACAGGCTGGCACAGGCAGCAGCATACATTTGAGTCTGCACTGCCCTGGCTCAAGGCACATTGCTTTTAAAGGTAAAGATGCAAGTAGATGTTTCTCTAATTGCCAGAAACAAAGATATTAGATTCCACTCTATGGAAACAGAACAGGAAACTCACTTTTTGACTTCCCTTCCCACAGGAGGTAACTTATACCTGTATATGTGGCCATTTATCTTCTTCCTGCCTGAAAATCTCTGTCCTTCACTCATGATGCATTGGACAGGAATGGAGTGGTGTCTGCACAGTGCACTCCTCTGCTGTGATGAGGAGTCAGAGAATCGTGGTCCCGTGGATGCCACTATTAGTGTTACAGCTGACTGTATGGTATAGATATTTTCCATAAAGTGCTTTGTTTCATTTCTCAGCCTTGAGTGATCCAGTACAAAACGTGTTGGAAATAAATGCAGTTTTATGACATTTCTGGTCTCAGAATATTTTTGTCAATCTATACTTTTTTCCCCTTATGACTAGTGATCACTGGGAGATTTGGGAGCACTAACTTAATCTTAGAGTGTTAAATGCAGTAAAGGAAAAGAGGGGGTTGAAAAAAAAATTAAATTAGCTTGAATCAGCTTCGTAATTTTCTGTTTTCAGTTAGTTTCAATTATGAAAATTTAATTCTTCATCCTATTTCAGAGATTTGTTTAAAGCTTATGACATGATAAACATTGGAAAGAAAGCACTGGAAAGATCAAGTGCTGTGTTGCAGTCCTGTTCCCGTTGGTGATATAAACAATGCTTGTGCATCATCTGATGGACTTTTGCTTATCTCTTTATTTAAACTCCACTGAGAACATATTGTATGTATTCTAATCACTAACCAAAGAGTCCAGTTTCCAGGAGAATATGTGGCTTGCTTGCCTGCATTTTGTTTTATTATATCATCCCATTCTTCAAGCGTCCTGTTGTTTTATGTACCAGTAGTGCCACGTTCTGTCTTGTGGGACACAATGTGCTATAACAATTAAGACCTGAACATCAAAGTTGAGTCAGCTTATATGGATGAAGGGAAAGTAATACAGGTGATGAAACAGCAGTCCTGGGATACCAAAGACATTATCCAGCCTTCATCAGTGAATGTAATGGATATAAAAAGAGAGGTGGTGATTTGGTCATTTTCTATATATCTTCTAATGTGGCTTATGTGGTTTAAAACAAAATTTAAATATATGATACAGGAATTTCAAAAGATATACAACAAAAAATTCTATTTATTGATCAGCTAATGGTTTAGAGCTTCAAATTAGAGACATCAAAAGGAAGGCATTTTTCAGAAAGTGTTTGTCCACTGAGAAAATTGCCATCACTATAAAGTTGGAACAAGATGTGCCTTTATTATGGTTAGAAACACTGAAGAGAAACAGATGATTCCTGGATCTGGTTACTGCTGCTAACAAAATTTCCAGGACATCACTAGCAAGCAAATGACACATTCAGACTGGCCATGATAACTCCATATCATATCTAGACATGGCATGAAAGAACCTCCCTATGAAGGTTTATTATTTCTGTACTGCATATGGTCTCTCATTATAACATAAAAAAAAAAAGGTGTAAATATGCAAGTATATGAAAGAGAACTTGAGGAGGTTATGCAAATAAACTTGCTATGCCTGTTTTGCTTGGGTATAGCATGGTCGGTTCAAGGCAGCTTTACTTCCTGGGAAAAGGTCAAGTCTTACAGAAAGTTTGTAAATAATGGTATGTTTAAGAACTATCTGCAAAAGCCTATGTGTAATCTAGTAGTGTGGTGTTAACTGTAACGTTAACATTAGGACAGTGGCAGCAAAACTGACGTTGGAAACAAGATGATGTTACCAGGACAGAGGAGCCATGTACCGTATGGACAGAACCACTTTGAAATTCTTTTGCAACCAGCTTCCTGGCTGTGGGCGTGAAGGAGATTTAGGAAGATTATCTGGGTGAAATGAATGGAACAGAGAGACTGAGAGAAAGGGGTGTTTAAAGGGCTCCTCAGGTAGGATGGCAGAAGTGAGAAAACGCCGAGTGTTACTTAAAAGTATTCTAGGTTCGAAGCCGGGGCTGCACAAACTGGTGGATAAAATGGAGAAATTGTAACTACTTCCTGCTGTTCCACCAGGCCTTCAGGGTGAGCAGATCTCGCTCTGGAAAGGTTCTAGTTGAATGCAGTGATTGTCTGGTAATTAAATGGTGCTTCTGTGTATGGTAGATTTCCAAAGTGGATTTGTCTTGGATTAACATCAGCTTGTATGTGAAGAAAGTGAACAAAATCTAGCCTTAAAACTTCCGTGCAATTTTTTTCTGTTCATTTTCTGTAACATAGAGCCAATGCAAAATTAAACTATGCAGCGAAATTATCAGCCATTTGGCAGTGGTTCAGGCAAGAAATACTTTTTAAAAACATATGATACTATAAGCACGAAACATCTCCGAGCAGCTGTATTCAAGGAAAAGCAAGAGTTGTAAAGCTAATAGCAGTTGTGTAAGAGGCAAAATAGCATGTATAGCTAAGGGTTTGGTGTGAGTAGACTCTTTGGAAGCTGATATGTTAGAAAAAGTGGTAAAGCAGTCATAATAATATATTAAGAACCATCAGAAAGTTCTTTCTCTATAATTTTTCCAGAACTCTGGAATGATTCTTCCTTTTTCAGCAGAACCACCCGCATAGGTTGGACTGCAGACCAAGACATGTTAAGAGCCAGGATAGCAATTATTTCTGAACACAGAATGTAAATTTTCTCAAGGCAGTAAGAGCTCAAAGGCTGGCCTCAACCTGCCATTACAGCATTCTGGGCAGTTCATAATTTTTGCTTCCATATAGAAGGAAGTAAAATTTACTTTGAGAATCCATATTCTGTTTCTTTTTGTGTCCTTTCTAACTATATAAGTAGTGCATTTGTTCTTCTTTTTTTCTTTTTATTTAACATTTGTGTCTATGGCTTTTCTGTCAGCCTAAAATACATTGCATTATCGTTGAATCCTTTTTTTTTTTTTTTTTTTTTTTCCATCTTTGAGAGAATCTTTGCAGGGGAAGCGTAGGTTCAAAAGATTTTAAGTAGTTCTTGGTGGGGTCTGAACCAGTGTTTGGAAAGATCTGTTGCAATCTGACTGAGATTAAATGTTTTCCCTGAGGCCAGAAGCCTTTAAATAACAGGTCAGTTCTAAAGATGAGTCACTGGTGTTGAGAAAAAGCTGACCAAAGAACAGTCAAACTGCGTTGCTGGTGCAAAATTGTGTAGGGAGTGGTGACAATTTTATTTAAGAAATGGAGAACATACTTTTCTTCAATCCAATCATATTTCCAAAGAGAAACACTAAAAATAAAATAAAAACTTTCTCAAGAGGTTTATTTTTCTGTTTTTACCCAAAACAAAGTAGATATTTTGCTACTGAATAAAACCTCTCCTTTTTCTGCATTCTCCAGTGGAGTTTCAGTTTCCCAATTAATACAGTCTACGTTCAGAAATTGTATAATTTCTTCAGGTGTTGTCTGTAGCTACTTTGTTCCTTATCATCTGTGGAGCACAATCCTGCTTCAAAGAGACAAAAATGGTCCTGCAAGCCATGGAGTGCAATCTTCCTCTCTCTCGACATGCAGAATGTATGATGGCCTGCTTTTTTTGCACTCTGATGTGATAGGATATAGAATGTGTGTAGGTTTTCAGAGAATTCTGCAAAGCCCACAGCCATGGTCCTCATCCCATGGTGTCTGGTGATGACCTATGTCAGCTGAGAAATGGGTTTGAGGACAAGAAACAGCCTGAGCTCTCACATTCAGT